AACTTGCAGAGGTATGCCGTTTTTATTTGCCTTTACTCTGTATTTATATGTGTTAAAATCATGTTCCGCAATTTTGTGAAGTGTTGTTGTGCTCTTGGTTTTATTGCCTATGAAGTTACCAGGGCCCAGCCTCTCCTAACAGATGGTCGGTGATCTTCAGGGAAAAAAACAATATTGTTGCTGCAACTGTAGAAGTTGTCGAAGCTGCAAGAACTTCAGGAGCTTTTGCGATTGCAGGAACGCTAGCAATAACAACTATAGCAGTTGAGGCAATGGCATCTGCAACAACGACATCAGTTCAACCAGGTGCAGAGACTTCAACTGCGACAAAAAAGTTATCCAAGCATTGCTCCTGTTGTACTCCCCATCCCCACCATTTTTGTTTTTTTTTATTTTTCATCTGCAGCTGCTGCATGTACTCTAGTTCTTTGTGCTGCTATAGCAATTTCTAGAGGAGGTGCCAATTTTTTGCTCGATGTTCTGATGATGAGTACCGGGGGTGCCAATTTTCATCGGACATTCCACTCCCTGAAGTCAAAAAAAAAATATTTTCTCCAAGATCATGGAGAACTAGGGTCCCGTACATCTGGTCCAATTATCTTGCCCAACTCTTAGGTAATTAGCAATGTGGTCACTTAAACCATTAGTACTTGGCCCAACTATTGGCCGCGAGAAAAAATAGAGTAGAAACGTTTCTAGTCGAATGAACTTCGGCGGTCTTGTAGTGACCCGTACGTTCCCTAAAATTGTGGCTCGTTAACAGGTACGACTTTAGGAAGTACTGGTGGTTTAAATCAAGGTATTTTAATATTGATATATTCACATAAGCATGGACTAAAGTGGAATAACTTGTGTGATCCTTGTTTTTTGTCTGTCCTTCACCTATTTATTTTTAAATCTTTGCAGTTGTTCAAGCGCATCTGGCTTATCCAACATGATTTTGAGAGCGGCGGGTTAGCAGAAAAACATCAATACTGGATTGAGGATCGTGCTCTAGAGAATTTAATTCTTGAATACAACAGGATACAAACGGTTTTGCGAAACATGCACCGAAAACATAACCTTGAAAAATGAGGTATAATTTTTTTGCAATCGAAATATTCACGGAAACACAGCCTGCAATATTTCTTATTGTCCTTGAATATTGAAATGAGTTTAATTGTCGATACTTCTTGTATATGCATATATTTTTTTGAATTTTTGACAACCAATATTTAACTAATTTTATTTTTTGCCTGCTATGCACATGTTTTTCAGGTTTCTACGGCAAGAAGAAGGGTGAGATCCTCATTGTATCAACAATACTCCATGCCATCACATACTGTGTGGAATCAATGACAGACAATCTCGATGCATTGGAAGATGATGTCGAATTGCTCGATTTCGCCAGAACATGTCAACTTTGTAATCAAATTCCTGAAGATTTATTGCAGGCAACGACTGGAATTCATTAACGACAGACAGTTGGTGAAACTGTGTGACGACTTTGAAAAGTATGGTACTGATCACAGCGAGATTGAGCGTGATGTTGAACTTCAGGACCTTGGACAACGAGATGACGAGGCAAGGATTTTAAACAATGTAAGTAACATTTTTAAAACATCAACTTCAGGAACTACATTCTCTTAGTTTTGTCCAATAGTCTCACATATATTTCATATGGAACAGAATTGCAACATAAAATAAGATAAGCAATATTAGTTATTTGTACTACACTATTTTTTTCAAGTGAACATCATTGTCATATATAATAGCATTTTTTTATCTGCAGTACAACGTTATATGGAAGTTTTCTTTTTTGTGAGTTTCTTTGCTTTTCTTAAGAAACATCTAACAATGTGTTGTTTTACTTTTTGAACAGGCAAAAACGAGAGAAAAGTGTGTAAGAATGTTGAAAACGGCGATAAAAATGTTGAAATTGACACTGACAACAATGATAAATATGAAGTGTGGGTTGAGGCAAGAAACTAACAACATGTTCCGAGGAATGGAAAGTCTTGGTTGAGCATCTATCATGAAAACCACGATAGAATAAGTAAGTATTACACATCGAACAACCACTTTTTTCGTTGGTGCATTTAGTGAGTTCAATTTGAAATGGACTGGTTTATCGATTATCGCAGGTTGAGCAGCAAGCACGTGTGGTTCAATGCCTGTGTTTTCACAAATATCACCCAGGTTTGTTCACTGCTTGCTTCATTACCTGGTTTGTTCTGAGTGTGATGCTCTGCTGATTAAACCGAAGGGTTAGTAGTTTAAAAACAAAAATAAAAAAAAGGGAAGGATCTGAAAAAAAAAAAGGGAAGGATCTAAAAAAAAAAGAAACTAACTTCAAGTTAGGACTGAGCTCGGCCTTAGTAGTCAGAATCTGACCTTCCCTTCCATTTCGGTGGTGGGTCACCCAGGGGTGTTTGGGATGTATAAAGTTACTCTAAACAGTGACTAGGGGGGTTTAAAAGGGTATATCTGACGTCATTTATCCTTATTTATTTTTATCTTAAAATTAATAAGGAGTTTCGAGGGGACCCTCAGCTAAAAGTTGGTTGTACTGTAATTTTATACAACATTTGATTTTCCTAGATTTTTCAAAATTTTGGAATTTGTTTTTAATATTATGCAACCGGGTTGCCCGGAATCCTATCTGGCCACTGCGTGGCCCAGGCCGCCCGGGAGGGTACCCAGGCGACCTTTCCCTAGCCAGGCTACCTAGGGACCAGCCTAGGGAATTTGGCAATTTTTAATTTTTTTTCAAAATTTTTTCAATAGTTCACCATTTTTTTACAAATATTTTTGTAGCTCTCAGCAGACTAACCCTACCAAGCCCCATAGCTGTCTTACCACGGTTAACCCTTCAAACCATAACCTGAACTTACTAACGTTTACGAACTTTCACTGATTTTCGGATTTGTGAATTCTCCTACAGACAAAACAACAAACTTCAGAGGTAGGGTAGGTAGTTCTCTCTAAGTGTGCTGCTCTAGTGATCGAACTTGAGGGTTAACACAACTTGACTATTAAGGGGAAAAAAAAAAAACCAGAGGGTTCATCGGGTTCCTCCAAGTTATTCGGATCCACTGTTATTAATAATCATTTCGGTTGCTTTTTTAATGATTTTCTATATTTCATGAGACTTGGTTCAGAAGGACTCCACAAAACTATAAAACCTGAGCTCTCAGCCTGTGTAGCATCGTGTTCGGGTTCGGTGACCGAACCCGAACATTCGGGACCGAACACGAACGAGCGCCGAAACTCTCCGAACGCGAACATAAAAATATTTTAAAAAACAAAATAAAAACGTTCTCCAAAAAATCTGAAAAAGAAATATATGTTATGTAAAATAATAATATAAACAACTTTTGCCTTGGAGATATGCTCAAATCCGTAGCCAAACTCGAGTTAAACATTATAAACCAAAAACAAAAGTCTTTTTTTTTTTTTTTTAATATGTTGGCCGAACATGTGCAGGTGGCGTTCGACCGAACACCCGAACCTGTTCGGACGTTCGGAAAAGCTTCGAACATGTTCGGTGTGCATACAACCCTCAACTAAACCTAATTTTTTAATGTTAGGGTCCACACTTTTGGTTGAGCCTTCTATGTCTTTTGTTTTTTTTTAAATATATATTTTTTTTAAACAAAAAATTGTCTCGTCTGGCCCAGTACAGTGGTCTTGTTACTGCGGTACGCCCATCAGTCAGGGCGTGCCGTATGCTAAATAAAACTGTAGCGACTAAACGGTAAGACCCCATGCACCTTTACTATAGCTTTGCATTGACAACCTTGATTGAACCATTGGCCGTTTTCTGGAGTACTTGCCTGGTACACTGTCATATCCTTGATTCAACCAGGCTTAATCTCGTTTGACAACCTGGTTCAACGAAATGCTAATGAATTTTGTGCATGTGGGTACCCGTGTGTGTTTCCAGCATAACCAAAATCATGTGTGTGTAGCATACCAGTGCAATAACACCCAATGTGTTGGGCCCATTATCAAACCGAATCAACCATCCCTTACGGGTGAACTAGTGTCAGCTCACTGGTTTGTTTGAGGAGGAATTTGCGACCTCACCTTTTGCTTGTATAATTCAAAAGGTTTGCATGTACTGGTGCATGTACTTGACCAGCTAACATTATGTACTTTTACAGTTTTCAATGGGCCGCTTTCACAATACGATATGAAGAAAAGGAGCGGCGTAGTTTTTTAGAAGGAAATCCTAGACGAACCCGACATGACACAATTCGTAAACATGTTACATGATCTGTTCAATTTGAGCTTGGCTGATTGGAACGAAGTTTTAGCGGCAACCTCGTAAATAATTCCTCTTTTTTTTTTTAATTTAAACGAACTCCAACTTTATTATAAAACAATGAGGTCGGAATTCTGCAACATCTTAACCCAGATAACGTTGGGGTCATTACACAAATTAGGCTTGAGCTGGAAGCCAGATCCAACATTCCCTATGCTACCGGAGTGGCCAAGGACCACTTCCAAGGTTGGGCAAAAAAAAAAAAACATTGTTCCTAATTTATTTTTTAATTAAATTTCGGTGACGAATTTCGATGTAATCATGAGACAAAAGTTGTTCATTTTATTTATCTGCATACCTGGATTGTTTTTTTTTTTTTTCAATTTTGTTGGGACCTTCCTCGGTCCTTGCACCACTGAGTCGTCTGGGAAAACAAGGTGCCTTGGCAACCACGTCGCACAGTTGAGCCTCTGGATACTTTTTTTATACCTTTCCTCTCGTGTTTGTTTTCCCCAACCTGCGAAATGTGACGTAAAACCAAGCACCATATTCCTTGAATCTGTTGAAAACTTGAAAAGTAATAAGTTGTTGGTTATTTCTTTGCCAAATATTTTCCTTTTTGTCATGCCATCCATTGGGACGTGTCCCTTCTAAGCCCCATTTTCGAATTGTGCCAATCTTTCCATCATATGCAAGAGCCATTTATTTCCACTACGCTGCCTTCTAAGCTCCACTTCTGACATGGTCATCTCACGGTGTTGTCTTTTGTTTTCACTTATTTTTTTTTGCTCCACAACCCACGACAAACATATGTACCTTTGTTCCGTGACTATACACAGCACTCAAAGGAGGCCGAGGATGATCCTCTACCTGAAAAGCACGAAGAGAACATGGACGAAGACAAAGAGGATGGAGACAAAGAGCATGAAGACAAAGAGGATGGAGACGAAGATGATTATGTTGCGGATGAGGACAATGATGATTATGTTGCAGAAAAACAAAAATACGATGATGTTGCAGATGGAGACACAAAGGATGGTGCTGCAGATGGAGACAAAGAGGATGATGATGCAGATGGAGACAAAGAGGATGATGCTGCAGATGGAGACAAAGTGGATGATGATGCAGATGGAGACAAAGAGGATGATGCCAAGTATGGAGGCAGAGGATACACAAAATATGAAATACACTCTGAGCAACAATCATCGGAGGAAAACAACCTGCAGGATTATATAGTCAATGATGAACATCAAGATCGAGATAAATCTTTTGAAGATCTGAGATAAGATAGTCATCAATTGTCGCGTGAAAGGAATAATATCCTTTAGAATGAGCAAGGAAACAGTGCAATTTCAAAGTCAGTTGAGCACACCATATCACAACAGACAACAAGAAATCAAGTTCAGACAGAAAAATACAACGCAAGAAAAATTAACAACAGACGATCATCCATAAGTCAAAGACACATAACAACTATATGAGCAGTTGTAAGATAGTTAAAGCGACTGATTGCTACAGTTTTCAATTTGATCACAGAAATGATGTTGCTGGTATGGATAAGCTTTCACATAAAGATGTTTGTGTGGGTAAGAATATCATTCGACATAGCAAGAGAAAGACAGTCGAAGCAACTAACTGCTGCAGTATTAGTTGTGAGCACAGGAACAACATTGTTGTTGTACAGAAGATGTTAAATGGTGATTTTATTGTGGATAAAAACACTATTGGACAAAGTAGGAAGAGAAAGCAGACAACAAACTCAGCTACAACCAGGTCAGCTACAACTAGATTAGGTACAAGTAGGTCAGATACATGTAGGTCAAGTACAAGTAGGTCACTTGCAAAAGAGTCAAAAAAGTAGTTTGTCAAACTTGTTGTGAATATATTAGTTAGAAACAATCAATCGTAATTTACTACTGCATTTTTGACACCATGTACAAATAACAAGTGCAACTCAACTAATTGTAGATATGTTAGATCATTGAGTAGGTAGACCTTGAAGTATTTTATCCGTGTGTTAAGTTGTTTCCTTCATGACTAATTACTCTAATATTTTTTGTGCATTTCCTAATTCGGAGTGTTTGTGAAAAAAAAACAATAGGTTTAATGGTGAAACTAATCAGTATTCCTTTCTTGTTCTTCTTTTTTTTCTGTTGTTGTTGTTGTTGTTGTTGTTCTTTTTTTTCTTCTTCTTCTTCTTCTTCTTCTTTCTATTATTATTATTATATATATATATATATATTTCTCTTGGAACTGTTTTTTGGGAAAGCCTATCTGATAATATTTGACAACTTTCTTTCTTTTCACTCACATTGGTCTTTTACTTTGTTAGTTTGTCTCTCTCTCTCTCTCTCTCTCTCTCTCTCTCTCTCTCTCTCTCTCTCTCTCTCTCTCTCTCTCTCT